AGAATTCCCCAGCCAGCCATGGGGAATTCTGGGAGTTGAAGTCCACTCATCTTAAAGTGGCCAAGTTTGGACAACACTGCTTTAGGCAAACAGAAGGGTAAAGAATGAGTCAAGATTTTATTGGCTGACTTCTAATTATCCATGTTACATATAGGGCAGTGTCATTCTATGCAAAGGTTCAATCTAATCAGAGAGGCATGTTCTTTTTTATATGTATATAATAATTTTATAGAAATTTACAGAGGCAAAGATAAAAAACTAATGCAAGCTAAGAGAAATATAAAAAGCAAAAACATTAAAAGGGCAGAGAAAAAGGAAGAAAAGAATAAAGAAAAAAGATATATAAAGAGATGACTTCCCCCTTCATCAAGACAAGTACAATTTCCATAACTTATCACCATCTCTGATACTTCAGCAAAAAAAAATCTCTTCTTCCCATATCTCATGTCTGATCTATAAACAACTTTTAAAGCTTTGTCATTCAATCCTAGTCAGCAAAAGTCCATTAAGAGTTACTAGAAATAATAAGAAGCATATTCTGAGATTCGGAGGGCAAATATGGACCCCAGGAGTTTTGGAAACAACCGGGCCCGTGCAAAAAATGCTACCTAGTTATAATTTTTCATGTGACAGAAGGGGAAAAGGATGAACTACGTGGAAAATAATAATTGGAAATGCATCTAATTACTTTCATTGTAGTTCCATTTAAACAAAATCAAATATAATGTTTATTGTTTTTGGAGTGGGGCCCCTGGTATACCGTTCAAAGGCCAAATACGGATCATGAGTCAAATGTTTATCACTGATCAAAACCCAGTTTCTGTCCACATGGCAAGCACTCCGGGATGAGTTCAGGTGATCAAATTTACTGCACAATGGTGTTGTTGTTGCCGTTCTTTAAAAAAAGTGCAAAAATTAGGTAACTGTTGCATTAGCATATATTTTTGTCCGTTTTTTCCCCCTGGAAAGAGATATATGTATGCAATTTTCTCTTTTATACTCTTTTATATTAAAACAATACAACATTCTTGAATATTTAAAGATTAACTCTACTGAATTATACATCCATCCTGTGATTATACATCCATCTCTTCCATGATGGATTCCATATTTTTCTCCTTTTTGGTCATGCATTTGGTACACAACTACCTTGAGCCAGTTTCTTTGGTATTCTTCACATCAAGGACAGACCATTATTACTATGAACAAATATCGAGAACTCACCTTCTTTGGTACTGATGCGAGGTGATGGTTCTGTGTGGGTTGGTGTATTGTAAGACAGCAAGGAACTGCCTGCAAGGAATGAACAGAGTGAATTTAGTTTGTGCTTTGCACAGATTCATACGGTGCACCAACTACATCCTTCCCTGGACCAGGTGTCTCTCCTCAAGGTCACTCATGCTTTGGTCTCCTCCCAGGTGGATTACTGCAATGTATCCAACATGGGGATGCCATTGAAGGGCACTCAGATGCTACAGCTGGTCCAGAAGACAGTAGTAGAAGCAGTTATGGGTGCATCTTGATACAACCATATAAAACCTCTCTTAAGAAAACTGCACTGGTTACCAGTGAGCTTCCAGATGCAATTCAAGGAGCTGGTTACCAACGTTTTTCATGGCATAGGACCTGTCTATCTGAGGAACTGCCTCTCTCCCATTATTTCTGCCCACCCTGTAAGATCTATTAAGTGATATGAACTGATGGGACCTAAGAAGCCCAGTTGCCCTCTGGAATACCATCTCCTTAGAGACTTTAGATGTTTATTGCCTGTAGATGATTTTGACTTTAGATGTTTTGCAAGCTGTTAGATGTTTTTTGAAAAACTGACTTTTCCCCTAGCTCTGGGATAGGTTGATGGGGTGACCACTGAGATGTTTTGCTAGAATTGGTTGTGAAATATGTTTCCACCATTATGTGATGTTCTTTCTGGTTCTTTGTTGTTTTTAGGGATTGTACTGGTTTTAATTGTATGCTGCCCAGAGCTGACTTTGAGTTGGAGTGGCATTATCAATCAATCAATCAATCAATCAATCAATCAATCAATCAATCAATCACAAACCAACCAACCAACCAACCACCATCATCATAGACAGCTAATCACAGTCCAGGAATAACTGCAGCTAACAAACTAGCCAGAGCTTTAGTTTTTAGTCAATGAAATATTTTCCACTAATTAATAGGTTCAAGCTGGCTAGAGAATCTGTGGGCCATGAACCTTCTTTTCTTTCTGGGACCCTGGGGTCTCTTAAAACTGCATCAAGACATTTAGATTCTTGACCTTTTGAGTCAGGAAACACATGTGGCATAATCTTAAAATTGGCTTTACATCCCTAAAAAGTAAAAGAAATACTTCTCCCCAATACAGAAAATAACCTCTGCCTTTGTCTCATCAGCATGACACAGCCCGACCCTCATTCTATCATCATCATCATCATCATCATCATCATCATCATCATCATCATCATCATCATCATCATCATCGATTACATAGAATTCTCGAGTACTAAACTATTGCCTCCCTTCCTGGATTGTTGTACCACCATTCTCCACCTTTTCTTAAGACCTGCCAGATTTACTGTATAAGTCTCCACTGATACCACAATCCACCCTGATTGCAACTCCTGAATATTGGAAATTAGAGCCTGAGAAACCTTAAGAGTGGCTGGCCTTTACATAATACGTTAATCCAATAACAATAATACGTAAGTCTCAATCCAACAAATGAATCACAGCAGAGATGCAGTGACTCTGTTAATATTTTAGGCTTATCCAAATTCGCAGCATAGCACAACAGTGTGGTTTTCAAGCCTTTCCTGCAATTCATAATGATAAAGGAGGCATGTTCAATTTTTTTTTTCAATGGGACCCATTTATGGGAGGAATAACCCATTGTACTTGCATAGACCATACTTTATAGAATTGAAGACATCATATCGCCTTTCCTTTCCATTCCAGATGAAACTCAATAGGACAAATTCCAGAAGACAAGGTAGCCAGGGACCCTCTGTGTATTCCAAATGTGTACATGAACACAGTTCTGTTGGGGCTGTAGCATTACAAAGTGGAAGATCACTAAGATGGGTACTGCTATACAAAAGGAGAACCCCCTGATTATGGAAAGCCACTGTTTAAGAAGAAAGTCTGAAATCCACGCAAATTCCCTATCCCAACATTCTGGGGTGACATAGTCACATGGTGCCTGCATCATGTGACTTTTCTGAACAGGCAAATAGGCTATGAACCCACTGTTGCAAATATTCTAAATGGAATTCTGGCCATCTTAAAACATCAACCCTTTGATTATCCAAATAATTTATATTATCTGGAGCTTGGAAAACGTCCAACAATACGATGCCCAATGAAGCATATAGCTACAGTTTATAGCAAGGATAAGCAATTTCGAAGGCACTTCCTGGGAGATATGGTCAGTCACAGAGCACCTATTTACTGAAAGTCAGTGGTAAACTTGCTCTAAGACTCACCACTCTCAGAAGCTCTCTAAAATCCTACAGGTTTTTTTATTCCTGGGCAGGACGGCATATTTCCAAACAAAACGTCAGGCTAGAGCGATGCACCATTTGCTGAAGATGCCAACGAGGGTTAGGTGAGGCACAAAAGCATTCATGTAAATAAAGACTGTGCTAAAGGGCTGGTGCTTTGCCTGTCCACATACAATGGCCTGTTTATTTTATTTTACTTCTAACTATAGATTAAAAAAAATAACAACTAATGCCAGGTGGGGCAGGAATCTGGGCAAGAAGCCCAGTGGGCATCGCAAGAGGCCTATGAAACTGGGCAAAATAGAAGGGTCATGTGTATCATGGCTTTATACACCTATATTCCTGGCATTTTGTACATTATTTTTTGTTCTCAAATAACAGTGAGAAAGCAAATTTATGGCTGACACATTTTCTGGCAAATTCGAGACAGATCCTCATTCCCGTGCTCAGCATGACGAATACCAGCTCCTCTGGCAAGGTCCAAGAGGTTTCCAGAGATTAAACATGCTGTCTTTGCAGCTAAAATGTGGACAGACACGGTGGATGGGGCTGGGAAGAGGAAGGTAGGCAAGAGGAAAAGAAAAAAGGGAAAATAACCACTTTTGCTGAAAAGCTGCTGAGAGAGAAAAAGTTGCCCTGAGTTTATTGGTTCAGGTTCTCACCTTTGCCCAACAGTCTGACATTTCTGGTGGGAACACCAGAAATGGAGAGGAAAAATGTGTTTCCTATTAAGAGGTTGAGAAGAAAGAGGGAGGAGAAGACAAATTGGGGTGGGGGGTGGGGAACCAGACACAGCAAAATTTGCCAAGTACCAAGTAGACAGAAAATCCAGATCTGGAATCTTTTCTGAGCAGAAATCGAAGCAAAGCAATGCCATGATTATGCTCTGCCTGGAAGTCACACCCCATTTGGTGACACGTTTGTTACTAATTCCAGATAGGTGGAAACTCATGACAAATATTCAGGGATGGGTGTGGTACTTGGCACATTCTCAGTTCTATCTTAATAATTCAGTCTCTAAGTCCTGGCAGAAGGAAGGAAGGAAGGAAGGAAGGAAGGAAGGAAGGAAGGAAGGAAGGAAGGAAGGAAGGAAGGAAGGAAGGAAGGAAGGAAGG